TTGAGCTGCTATTTAAAATATTCTGTTCAGCTCTTTTATCTTGTCATTTCTTCCATTTACTTTAGCTACTCTCCATTCAGAGGCAAGTTTCAGAGTCTCCTCTGACATCCATTTTGTTTTTTTTTCTTCTTTCCTGTCTTTTTAATAACATTTTGCTTTCTTCATGGATGATGTCCGTGATGTCATCCCACAATTTATCTGATTTTGGGCGGTGTTCAATACATCAAACCTATTCTTTAGATGGTCTCTGAATTCTGGAGGGATATAATCAAGGTCATGATTTGGCTCTTGTGGACTTGTTTTAATTATCTTCAGCTTCAACTTGAACTTGCATACAAGCAGTTAATGGTCTGTTCCACAGTCAGCTCCTGGCCTCTTTTTGCCTGAACTATTGAGCTTCTCTATCTCCTCTTTCCACAGATGTAGTCGATTTGATTCCTATGTACTCCATCTGGTGAAATCCATGTGTATGGACACCATTTATGTTGTTTAAAAAAGATATTTGCAATGAATAAGGCATTGGTCTTGCAAAATTCTATCATGAAATCTCTAGTGTTATTTCTATCACCAAGGCCATCTTTTTCAACTACTGGTGATTATTCTTTGTTTTCAACTTTTGCATTCCAATTACCAGTGATAATCAACACATCTTGATTGCATGTTTGATCAATTTCTAACTACAGAAGTTGGTAAAACTCTTCAATTTCCTTGTTTTTGACTTTCGTAATTGGTGCACACATTTAAATAATAATGGTATTAACTAGTCTTCCTTGTAGGCATATGTATATTATCCTATCACTGATAGCATTGTACTGCAGGATAGATCTTGAAACATTCTTTGTGATGATAAATGCCATTACATTCCTCTTCCATTTGTCATTGCAGGCATAGTAGAGCATATGGTTGTCTTATTCAAAATGGCCAAAATCAGTCCATTTCAACTCACTAATGCCTAGTGAGCTCTGGTAGCATAGTGGCTAAGGCACTTGACTGCTAACCAGAAGGCTGGTGGTTCAAACCCACCAGCCACTCCTTGGAAGGAAGGTTGGGCATTCCTACTTCCATAGTGATACTGCCTCGGAAACCCAAGGAGGGGTCGCTATGAGTCGAGCCGACTCGATGGCAAACAACAACAATGCCTAGGATATCGATCTTTATGTGTTCCATTTCATTTTTGACAACTTCCAATTTTCCTAGATTCATACTTTGTACAGTACATGTTCTGATTATTAATGGACCTTTGCAGTTGTTTCTCATTTTGAGTCATGCCATATCTGCAAATAGAGGTCCCGAAAGCTTTACTCCATTCTCATCATTAAGGTCAGCTCTGAGGAAGCAGTTCTTCCCCAGCCATATTCGAGTGCCTTCTGATCTGAGGGGCTCAAATTCTGGCACTATTTCAGACAATGTTTAAGGGCTATTCATAGTGTTTTCCAGCAATATATCAGACAGTGTTTCATTGTTATTCATAAAGTTTTCACTGGCCAATTCTTTGAGAAGTGGATGGCCCCATCCTTCTTCCGAGTCTATCTTAGTCTGGAAGTTCCTCTGAAACCTGTCCACCATAGGTGACCCTGTTGATATTTGAAATACCTGTGACATAGCCTCTAGTCTCACAGCAAAACATAAGCCACCACAATATGATAAACTGACAGATGAGTGGTGGTTAGGTGTCTTATAAACACAGCTATGACTTTCCATATCCTAGAAGAGATCCTGGCATCTTCCATGCTGGGTGCTTCTTGATAATATACAGATTGAATTTGTTATTATAAGCAAGGCACCTAGTGAATTACCTGGAAATATTAATTATTATTAATAATAAATTACTCTTGCTTTCAATAGCTATTTACAGTGCCCAGAATTTCACAGCTTCATAAAATATTATTACAATCATTCATTTTTTCCATATATGTTAGAACAGGGGTCAAATCTGGCCAATTTTTTCAAATTAAGTTTTATTGGTACACAGTCACATTCATTTGTATTGTCTTTGGTTGCTTTGGGAGTTCCTGGGTGATGCAAATGTTTAGCATAGTTGGCTGCTAACTGAAAGTTTGGAGGAATACCTCAGAAGAAAGGCCTGGCAATCTACTTCCAAAAAGACAGCCATTGCAAACCCTATGGAACACAGTTCTACTCTGACAGCCCTGGGGTCACCAAGAGTTTGAGAATTTGATGGCAACTGGCAAAGGTTGCCTTCCCACTACAACAGTGAAGTAGTGGCAGTAGAAACCTATGGCTTGCAAAGCTCAAACTATTTATTCTCAAGTGTTTGACAGAAAAAGTTTACTGCTTCCTATAATAGAATGGAAATATATAAGGGCACATTTTAAATTCATTCCTCTTGCTCAGATATCCCTATATTCTGTAGTATTTATTTATTTTCTTGCAACTAATTAGGAGTTCTGGTGGCATGGTACCTAAGGCATTTAACTAATAACCAGAAGGCTGGAGGTTCAAACCCACCAGCCACTCCTTGGAAGGCAGATTGGGCAATCTACTTCTGTAGTGATACCACCTTGGAAACTGAAAGAGGGGTTGCTGAGTTGGCTCTGATTTGACAAAGGTGAGTTTGGTTTTTGTTGTTGTTGTTTTTTAATTAGTAATTGCACAAAGCCAGGAGCTCTGGTAGCATAGTGGCTAAGGCACTTGAATGCTAACCAGATGGCTGGCAATCTACTTTCATAGTGATACTGCCTTGGAAACCCAAGAAGGGGTCACTATGAGTCGGGTCCAACTTGACGGCACATAACAACAACAACAATTGCACAAAAAGAATTACTTTAACATCTACGCTTGTCATAGTTAACTTGTGTGCCCCAAAAGGATATGTTAAATTTCTAATCCTTAAGAACTGCTAATGTGACCTTGTTTGGATATATGGTCTTTAAAGAAGTTATCAGTTAGTTTAACATGAAGTCATACTGGAACAGAGTGGATCTTGATACTCTATGTCTGGTGTTCTTTTAAGAGAAGAAAAGATACTTAGAGAAAGGAGTCAGAGGAAGGATGCCATGTGATGCTGCAGCTGCAAGTCAAGAAACTCCTGGAACTATCAGAAACTAGGACAGATCTGTGGAACACCGTCTCTCTCAAAGCCTCAGAAGAAATCATCACAGGTGACATCTTGATCTCAGACTCCCAGCCTCCAGAACTATGAGATAATAAACTTCTGCTCTCATAAGGCACCTAGTTTGTGCTGTTTTTGACAGCAGCCTTAGGAAACTGACAGAGAACTGTATTAAAATAAGCAGAGTTGCAATATTACTAGCCATCATATTCTCATTCTACATATGCATATTCTATCACCATGAAACACAAATACAAAGGAAAAAAAGAATTAGTTAAATTTTCAAAACATAGTAATATATTAGATCTTCATAAAATATTATGGTTTAGTAAATATAATCAATGACATTGAGTTGTAAAATCAAAAATGCTAAAAATGGCATGTTAATTTTAAAAATGGAATGACTATAAAAGAGAATTTGTATTAATTACAAATATAAATGGAGTTTTTGTAGTTGTATAATATGGTCCTTTAAATTTTTTATCTTAAAATATAGAAACAGGTGAAATATAGAAATGGGTGAAATAAAATCTTATGGCTTAAAGAGAAAGTACATTATAAATGAAAGTTCAAATACATGAGAATTGAGGGAAGATATTTCCAGTGATAATCTATACTAACATTTTTTTTCAATTATTTATTAGTACATAATATTCTCCTAACTTCATATTTTTGATATTACTTTTAGTAAGAGAATTCACAGTAACCATTAGTTCTGGGAGGCTAGCAGAGTGATTTCTGATGAATGACAATATATTGTAACTGTGCTGATGTGATTTAAGGCAAATATGTTCCTCAAAGCAGAAGTCTGATATGGATGTCTTATTTTCAGCTCAAAGGCACCCAACTAATTCATAAAAGGTTATCATATGCTCCTTTTCCCAGAAAAGATAAATGACTCTATCTCACTTGGAGCAACTTAAAGCCCAAAAGATGATGCATTTGAAAATGTTATTAGAAAAAGGTGAGTCACTGCAGAACTACTATTAATGAATAATTGCTAAAGGAGACAGAAATATGTATAAACACACACACACAAACACAGGGAGCTCTGGTAGCATAGTGCCTAAGGCACTTGATTGCTAACCAGAAGGCTGGCAGTTCAAACCCACCAGCTGCTCCTTGGAAGGAAGGTTGGACAATCTACTTCCATAGTGATACTGCCTTGGAAACCCAAGGAGGGGTCTCTATGTGTCGGGTCCAAGTTGATGGCACATAACAACAACAACATACACACAAACACATATACACACACACCTACATATAAATAAATATATGTATAATGCATAGATATTACATAGAGTATATATAAATAGAATTATATTATATATAAATACATGTAGTTCTGTATCCAGTTTAAAATTATAACATATAAAAATGTGTGTGTATACACACACACACACATATATATACTAAAATTCACTAAGTAGATGAATATAATATACATAAATGTATAAAAAACAAAAATATAATAAATTTATATTCTCTTACTACTTAATGACACTTAGTACTTTATAACAGCAAGATACATAAGAATTAAATATCACTCTTAGTTGTGCTCGAGTCATCTTAAGTAATGAAATTCACCCTGCCATATCCTAAATGACTATGGAAGCCATATTCATCTTCATTAGTCTTCACAGAAAAGCTTTTTTATATTCAAACCCACTAAAGTGGTAAAGGTGTTTTACAATTCTGTCTGCTAAAAGCTTAGTTAAATTATGGTTTCTACAGGACTTCAAATTAAATTGTAAACAACGTATGGTGTGGCAAGAGCCATTCGTTATTATTCTGCACATTAGAGTGGAAAAACTATTCTAATTATCCTTCAGTTGGCAATATATTTTATAAGACAATGTTCAGATAAAGAAATAAGGAATATGGGGCATTTTTACCAGCATGGGAGGGGGTATGAAGGAAAACTTACTTTTCATTACAAACAGAAGATTCTGTGACAGAGAATCTTTATTTTTTTCAATTGCTCCAACAATTTCATACATTACCTGTAATAAAAGATATAGGATAATTACTAATGATGAAACATTACCATGAAAATAATTTCCTTTGAAGAATACCTTGACTCAGCTGAAGTTTTAAGTTATTCATAAAAGACATGTCTCCAGGTTTAGAGTTCATATTAGGTGCAAGTTCAAAGCTTCTCATCAGCATGTTCACATTTTGCACATTAAACAAGAGACACCTTTTCTGTTTTAATTTGTGAAGCCTTCCTCTGATTCATGAGTTTAAGTGCAAATGATGATGATTCAAATTCATGGAGTTCTTTTTATTCTTAAGGACTCTAACCTCTTCAAAAACTCAGTAGAAAGACTCTGTGACACCTTGGAAGTGAAGTGTAATTTCAGTTAGAGAAACTGCATTGTCTCTTTATTAAAAGCATTCTGTTGGGTCACCTACAGAGTTAACTTGAAGTCTTTAAAACTGAGGAAATATTTAAAACAATTTGGAAGGAAGATGGGGCAATCTACTTCCGTAGTGATACCGCCTTGGAAACCCAAGGAGGACTCCCTATGAGTGGGATCTGACTCCATCACACATAACAACAAAAAAACATATAGAAAAATTAATTCCAAATTACCTAACCGGAAATTTTCCTCACCCTGGTTTATTTGCTAATGCATTTAACACAACTTTGTTGTCTGGTATTATTGATATTCCAGTGAGCACTTTAAGATTTGATCTTTGAAAAGAGAAATAGTTTTATTGCCTCCCTCCATCTCAGATTAAGTGTGAACTCGCAATGTGGTGGTGAGAATGCATATTGACAGGCCACACATCCATCATCGAGTTCATAATTTTCAAGAACTACTTCTTATAGAAACATCTTGGTACACATTATAGAAACATCTTAGTACACAGCCACATGGTGAGGAAATGAGTCACAGGTTGTCCTTTGCTCACTACTGAACTAGGGATGCAGCTGAACTATAATGACTCTTCATGTCTCATGGCCACAAAGGTATATGAGTGCTAATGGTTCTGACTAATAAGGGAGATAATCATGCTTACCAGAGAGCCTAGAGAGACTATGCTCATTGTCAGCAAGAAAGATCTAATGCAGACAAAAAGCAAAAAGCTATGAGAAGGAGGCTGTGAGGATCTGTGAGAGATACCTAAAAAAAAAAAAAAATGTCTGTCCTTACCTTAAAGGCCTTACTGAATTTTATTCTTTGCTGTCACCAGAGCCTAAATAGTATAGTAATACAAAGTCATCTGTTATGGATGGAACTGTGCCCCTCAGAACTCTCTGGTCACGTCCTAACTTCTGTGTCCTTGAATGTAACCTTGTTTGGGAAAGTAGGTTATTTCTTTAAAGATGTTATCAGTTAAATTAAGAAGTTTATGCTGGAATAGTGTGAGTCCTAATCTTAATCCCTCTGAGTAAACTGGAAAAAAAAAAAAAAAAAGCAACCCTCACTGCCATTGAGTCGATTCCAAAGAGAAAGATAGATACATGAACAGATTCCCACACAGGGAGAACACAGCATGTGAGGATCAGATTACAAACCAAGGAATGGCAAGGATTGGCCTTGTTATTCTCCCGAAACTAGGAGAAAGGCAAAAAACAATTCTTCTCTCAAAACCCTCAGAAGGAATCTACATGGCCCATACCTTGACTTTGGATTTCCAGCTTTCAGCATTGTGAGAAAACAAATTTCTGTTTTTTAAAGCCACCTATTTTGTAGTATTTTGTCTTGGCAGCCCTAGGAAACCAAGACAACATCCTATAGACTTCCAAGTTTTTCAGCATAACATTTGGATTACAATAGTGATTGAGCTAAGTGACCAAACCAAAAAATTAAACAACACTCCAGGAGGGTGTGCTATGAGTCAGGTCTGACTCGATGGCACATAACAACAACAACCACAGATAATTTTAAATTATTATCTAATTATCCAGTTTGCACTAGCCACAGAATATAGCTTATTTATCAATACTAAAATGCAAGCTGAATATTATAGTTTGCTACAAACAAACCCAAACTCACTGTCGTCAAGTCAATTTTGCTCTGTAAGACAGAGTAGAACAGCCCAATAGGGTTTCTAAGGCTGTAATCTTTATGGAAGCAGACTGCCACATCTTTCTCCCACAGAGTGGGTCATGGGTTTGAACCACTAAACTTTCAGGTGGTGACTGTACTTTCACCACTGCACCGCCAGGGCTTCTTGTTACATATACACACTTGTTACATAAACTCAGGCAATGGTTCCCAATTATCTCTAAGTTTCTTATTTACCATATTGTCTTCTAATCCATGAGGACAGCACACATTTCCATTTTAGATCTTTGATTTGTTTTATTTGCATTTGTAGTATTCATCCAGGATTTCTAACCTGTTCATTCTAGTTTGATTCCCTGATGAGGATTTGCGTTTCCACCAGAGATATACTGAATCAGAATCTACGTTTTAACAAGATCCCCAGGGGATTCTTATAGATCTTGTTAAAATATAGATCCTGAATCAGTGTATCTAGGTGGATATGCAAATTCTCAGCAGAGAGTTGAATCAGAATTAACAGTTTCAAAACCTTGCTTTCATCATATAAATCTCATGCATATTTTGTAAGATTTATACCTATTTTATATTTTGAACATTTTAAAATATATTTTTAATTTTATTGTACACTGGCAGTATATAGAAATATAATTCTCTTTTTTTATTTTGTATCTTGCAACCTTGCTGAACTCATTTATTAATTCTATGAGTTATTGTTTTGTTTTTTTGTGTTTTGGCAGATTCATTGGGATTTATACATAAAAAATCACATCATCAAATACAATATTGGCTGTACGTTTTTTGTAGTTGTTCTTTATCAAGTGGGGGAAATCCCCTTCTATTTCTATTATTCTGAGATTTTTTATGATATGAATTTTACCAACTGCATTTGCTATTTCAATTGATATGGTCATGAAATCTTTCTCCTTTAGCCTATTAATATGGTGGATTATACTGATTGATTTTTGACTTTTGAAGTAGCTTTCTATCCCTCAAATAAACCACATTTGACTATAATATATATTACTTTTATATAATGCTGAATTCTATTTACTAATATTTTAAAAGGACTTTTGCATCTATATTCATGAGGAATATCAGTCTATAGATTTCTTTTTTTGTGTTTGTGGTCTTTTATGTGTACTGTTTTTGTTACCAGGTTAATAAAATGTGTTGGGAAGTGTTTCATACCTTTTCCCTTTTGTGTAGAATTGGTATCTATTTTTACTTAAACGTTTTGTCTAAATCACCAGTGAACTCATCTCTGACTGGAGTTTTCCCTTTTTTGGGGGGGTGTCGGGGGGAGACATTTATAAGTTACAAATCAATTTGTCAATTATTATAGAGTTATTCAAATGATCTATTTCATATTGGCTGATCTGATATCGTTTGTATTTCTCAGGAAATTAGTCCATTGTACCTAAGCTGTCAAAAGAGTCGTGTGTAGAACTGTCTGTAGCAGCTGTTTTTGCCCTATTGACATCTGCAAGATCTGGAGTGATATTCTCTGTTTCATTCCTAATATTGACAATTTGTGTGCTTTCTTTGTCACTCTTATTAAATTTTATTGAATTTTTCAAAAAGCCAGCCCTTTGTTTCACTGTTTTCTCTATTTTTTTTTTTTTTCTGTTTTCATTATTGTGGTTGTCTGCTGTTATCTTTGTTATTTCCTTTCTTTGCCTACTCTGGGCTTATTTTGTTCTTCTTTAAGTTCTTGAAGTGAGTGCTTAGCTTATAGATTTGTGACATTTTTTTTTTCTAATGCATGCATTTAGTGCTAAAAATTTCCTTTTCAATATTGCTTCATTTGTACTTCACAAATTTGATATGCTGCATTTTCATTCAGGTCAATATATTTTTACATTTGGCATGGGACTTTGTCTTTAATCAACAGATTATTTATAAGGGTAGTGTTTATTTTCCAAGAGTTTGGAGATTTTCCTGTTCTCTTTCTGTTACTGATTTCTAGTTTCATTCTATTGTGATAAGCAAAGCCTTTCTGTATTTCAATTCTTTTAAAATTGTTCAGTTTTGTTATATGGTCAAACATATGACTTATCTTTTTGAATAACTGGTGTGTACCTGAAAATAATGTGCATTCTGCTTTTGTTAATTTAATTGTCTTTAAAGCATCCAGTAGATTCTGTTGGTTGAGAATATTGTTGAATTCTTCTATATCTCTGTCGGTTTCCTGTTTTGTAGTTCCAGCAGTTTTTGAGAGGAAGGTATTGAAGTCTCTTACATAACCTATTTTAGCTGACTTCCTCTGATACCACTCAGGAGGAGAAGACTGGCATATTACTGTCAGGTGGGAGTAAATGTCTAGGTTCCCCACTCAATCTCCTTCTATACTCAAGATTCTTGTTATTGGATCAGAGTGAAAATTATGTCTCTCTACTAAGCTTCCAGGGATACCTACCTGGTTGAAGGGTAGGAGTGCCTCTTTACTGCTCCCCAAGGGGCCTCCACTGACTCCATGGGAGGAGGTGGCCTCATTACCTCTGGGCAGCAATGATGAAAGTTCTGACTCCCCACTAGGTCTCTTCTGACATCAGCCAGTGGGGAGAGGGGGAAAAATACAAATTCAGAAACTTGGCCCATTAATAAATTCTGAACTGTATGCATTATAAATGTGCAAACTACCAGGAAAATGTGAATTTAATACATATAACAAAAAATTTAAGGAAGAAGTGCAAACTGCACTGAAGGACTTTGCGAAACACAAGGCTCCAGGAATTGATGGAATACCCATTGAGATGTTTCAACAAACAGATGCTATACTGGAGGCACTTACTTGTCTACACCAAAAAGTTTGGAAGACAGCTACCTAGACAAATGACTGGAAGAGATCCATACTTGTAGCAATTCTAAAGAAAGGTGATCCAACAGAATGTGGACATTATTGAACAATATCATTAATATCACACACAAGTAAAATTTTGCTAAAGATAATTCAAAAATGGTTCCAGCACTTTATTGATAGGGAA